TTCTCTATCTTCTTCTTTCTTTTTCGTCTTCTTCTCTTCATCTCCTTCTCCACTTTTCCTCATCTTTTTCGTCCTCTTCTCCTTTCACTTTTCTGTTTCTTTTTCTTTTTCGTCTTCTCCATTTCTTCTCTTTCACTGCTTTTCTGTTTGGATTTGGATAAAAGGCAAGAAGAGAATGCCATGATTGGACTTCAACCTTTTTCTTCTTCGATGGTTTGGTAGATTTTTAGCTTTAGGGTTTGTTTGGGAGCTTTGCATCTGCGTTTTTGTTTATGAGATGTCTCAATGAGACTAAGTGAGACTAATTCTGTGCGTCTCTTTAGGTGTTGGTTTGCGCTGGATTCTGATTTGGGGTATTTGAAATCGACGGCTGTGAGGCACCCATTTGATGTCTTGCTATTCTAAAGAGGCTAATTTCAAATTTTATTAAAATCGGTTTATATACCAATTAACCAATAACCGAATCGAATTATCGATTCGGTTAATAATCGGTTCAAAGGATAATTCGGTTCGGTTTTGGTTCAGATTATCTCTAAACCGAAAAATCGATTCGGTTTGAAAAGTGTGTAATCTGGTTCGGTTAACCGGATTTCCACACCCCTATTTGGAACCATCAAATTAAATTTAACATAGTATTTGAGTTTTGGGCCTAACTTTTGAACGTAATTGACCTAAAGAAAATTGGGCTTCGCCGACCCTTGGATTTATAAAACTATTGAACCTTTTTATAAATATTTAATTTTCATATAATTTTTATTATTCTTTTCCAAAAAAAAAAAAAAAATTCACTTTATGCAAAACGAAAATAAGAATTAGTTCCTAATAGAGAGTACTTTTGGGTTTTATGAATAATTTTCATTCAACATCTAAAATTATTATGAGTATTAATATATTAATAATTATACATTTAAAATTTATTTTTGTTATAAATTTATTTTTAATATTATGAATTGACATGTGTGAATTGTGGAGCTTAACATTGATTAATTTATATATTTTAGCTTATTTTTATTTTATTTTTGACTAGTTGAAAATTAAAATTGTCACTTTACTTATTTTGTTACAATAAATTAAAGAAATTACCATTTGTCAATTGTCATGAAATTGATTCTTTACATATTATTATTAAACACATTTTATGTTTTTATTTTCAAATCCTAATTTTAGTAAACGATAATGAACACATTTTCAAAATTTAAAAACACACGATCAAACTTCTTATTGTCAATTTCAAATTTAATTTTGAAAACAAAAACATAACAAACGTAAATGAACGTCACCTAAATATTCTATTGGCTATTTTACTTAGACACTTGATCAAATTTCCCAAATTCCTTTCAATCTCAACCAATTGCGTAATAGAAATATAAACTGCCTGAACCTTTAACTGAGTTTCTTATCGTGATTGTGTGCTCCCAGAAGCAAAAATAATCTATTCTTTTAATAGAGGAAATTCTCAAACCATATAACAAGGAAGTAGTGAACTTTAAACCAGCATTTGGTTTGGAGGTCTCTGATGAATAATAACTTTCAACACAAGATGAATTCCTCGTAAGTGGTCAGGATTATTTTGAGTGAATTTATATATATATTGGCGGAACCAAGAATTGGATTGAAGAGGGGCAAAAATTATCCAAAAATAATATAATTTAAAACTTTCAAACTGATGGGAACTAAACCAAAAATCAATCAAACAAAACAATCTCAATGAATCTCAACATATCAAAAATGATTTAGGATATATGTTGATATGAAATGAAAGACAATAGAAACAATTGCAAGGAAAATCAAATAACAACAAGCAGCAAGAAAAATTAAAGGTGCTAGCAGTTCGAGGAGCTAGTGGCCTTCCAACAATATTGAACATGCTTTTCGCTGAAGATTGATCACATCATAAGCCTCCTAAATTGTTTCAAACGGAGGTAGGTCCTTCAATTGGATAAGGACTTCTTGAGAGCCATCTAGCAAATGGCGAGTTGAGAGGACAACTTCAAGTTGCACTAAAAGTTCTAAGTCTTCAGTGAGGAAGGGAAGTGGTTGTTGGACAGGCACTGAGCTATGGAAGCTGTGTTTGAGCTAGGAAACATGAAACACCAAATGAATGTGAACAATGGGAGGCAGATCTGGCCTATATGCCACTTGGCCAATTATTTCCAACACAGCAACAAGCCCATAAAAAACCTAGGACTTAGCTTTTCATTCAGTTTTTTAGCTAAGGATTTAAATCTGTACAGCTGTAGCTTCAAAAACACCAAATCCCCTAGCTAGAAGGTGGCATCTCTTCTATGTAAGTCAGCATTCTCCTTCATGTGACCTTGGGCTATTGCCTAATTACACTTAAGCTCATTCAAGATAGAATTGATTTCCGCAATTTGTCGATTAACATACTCCACCAAAGAAGGACAATTGGTGAACTTAGTAAAATGGGTGGATCTCTTCCATACAAAGCTTTGAAGGGTGTCATTTTGGTAAAGCTGTGGTAAGTAGTTTGTACCAAAATTCAACCCAAGATAGCCATTTTTCCCACTGTTGGGGTTGGAAGCTGCAAAAACATGAGAGGTAGGCTTCTTGTAACACCCCCCTCTAGCCGGGCACCCTCTAAGTATTTCATTAGGATGGAAACTTAGAGAATTCACACCTAGAAGGCTGTGTAACTTAAAATGTAAATCTTGGTTACAAACATGTACTATATGAAAATAAATAAATAAAAACTTCTCCTCTCATTTACATTACTTTCTTAATCAGCCTGTCGAAATATGACTATATATGAAAAATATGGTTTAAAAAAAACAACTACATCAATTGTTTAATAGTGGAAGCAAATATAAAATATCTCCCATAATTTATAAGCAAAACATATTCATTATTTCATAAAACTTAGATTATAGACATTAAACTATATATAGTAATTTCAAAAACAACATCCTTTATATAACATCATAAGTTCAATCATAACAAAAGTTAACATGCATGTCCCCCAAGCTTCCTTGATTGCCGCTCACCATTACTGCTTTAACCATTACCTGCAAAACATGGAAACTAGGGAAATGAGTGCTATCACTCAATAAGGGTATCGATCATTTAACCCTATGTAACATTCTTAAACTTGGAAAACATCTTATTTACTTGTACATGAACCAAACATTAACAACATAAAAGTAATATAACATAGCATATTCAGTTCGTATCATAATGCATAATATAATTCATGTAATGCTTTCCTTTAATGTTCATGAATAATGCACTTCAATGCCATGCATGTATAAATACTTTTTTCTTTGAAAACTTTTTTATTGTCGACCGATCAGACTAAGCTGAGGCATGGATTACAGAACCTTTGGCCAATGAGCCAACCTTAACTTATAACACAATCCCCATGGTCATGCATGCTATGGACTGCTCATTTCTTTTGGTCTAGACATGTGCATGAGTGAGCTCAGGTTCCCCATAACATGCCAATAGCTTCCAAAAAAACTTAAAAATCATTTTCTTCACAAAACTGCATGTCTATGTACCTTGAAAGCATTTTGCTCAAACTTGGGATCAAGTCCCCCTTTTTTCATCATTAATATGCTTGACATGCTTCATTCTTTAAAAACATACACTTTCCATATATGAACATATCATTTCATTATGACCATTTCTTGGATGCATAACAAATTCATAGAAACATATCATACTTAGGCTTGTTTATACATAAAGAAGCTCATAATTAGGTAATACATAACATATTACACATAACCTCCATGGTCATTCATTAATCAAATATATGTTCATATAATCATTAAATAATCACAAAGACCACTCATTCAAACAGGCTTCAAAACCCTTTAAGCATTATTTCCATACTTGGAATCGATCATAGATTATTAGGCTAAAAATTAAATTAAGAAATTGGAAGCACTTTTGAGGTAGTCATGCTGCACAGGTCATATTCAAGAAGGCATATCTCGAGTTATACACATAGATTATATGATCTTGGTCTCGTTTTAAAGCTTAGAGAAAGGGCTACAACTTTTATGTTTATGCCTCAACCCAGTTTAATAGGTAAGACGCCCAAAAATCACTCAGAAGGCCATGGACTTGACAGTGGCAACCATGGTAACATGCACATTTTTAAGGCTTTTCCATACCTATTTACGTCCACCTACTCCCTAACCTTTCCTAACCATTCTCCCCTATGAAAACATCTTAAATGATCAATAATAACCTTCTTTGTAATATGTCAATTGCTCATGATACAACCAAATTCCATTAATTGCCATCAAACTTCAATTTTCTACAATTCACATATAAATCCATCAATTGCAAATTATAGCATCAAACCAAACTCAATTTCTTTTGTGTGACAAGAATTAAGGCTTCCTAATACTAAACCTAGAAAACCTAATCCTTATTTCATATCAAAGGGAGGTTTCCCTTACCCTGCGTGAAGAAACCACACTCCTCTGCAAATTTCCTTCTCCTTATCTCCAATTGACTCTTTATCCTAACATAAATCATAAGAAAACTTTAATAACTTGAAATACATAATAGTCATATAAGATAATGAGTTGAAATTTACCTCTTAATATCCTTAATAAAGGAAGAAATACAAGACACTTGAAAGATTGCAACTAAGAAGCTTGAAATTTTAATGGAGGAAATAGAATTAATGGAGAAGTATTGAAGAAGATGATGGAAAGTGGAAGAATACATGTGTTGGCCGACTTATACAAACTAAAATCAAGATTTTTTTTTTCCAAATTTATTCATTTGTCTTTTTCATTTAATGACTTATAACATTATTTCCCTTTTTGTCCTTAACAATTTTCTTTTAATTACTCCTTACTCCATCATCTTTATCTTATCAACCCAACAAAATATCATCATTTTTTTACCACTTTACCGCTAAGGCATGTGCATGGTAGTTAACTTAGCACATAAAACTGAAAAGACTATTTTACCCTTGGTCGTACTAGTGGGGTTTACATTTCTCCCTTCCTTATAGGAATTTCGTCTTAAGCAAATAACTCTGGATAGTGGTCTCTCATGTCTTGCTCCACTTCCCAAGTAGCTTCCTCAACCTTGTGATTTCTCCAAAGAACTTTGGCGAGTGGAATACTTTTATTCCGGAGCTCTTTAATCTTTCTATCCAATATTTGGATTAGACACTCATCATAAATCAAATTCTCCTTCAGTTTCACTTCCTCTGCTCGTAATACATGAGAAGGATCATTTATGTACTTGCGTAACAATGGCACATGAAAAATATTATGCACTTGTTCCATGCTCGGTGGTAATGCAAGTCTGTAAGCTACTTTTCCAATCCTTTCTAGCACTTCAAAATGACCAATGTATCGTGGAGCAAGCTTTCCTTTTCTGCCAAATCTCATGACATGTTTGTATGGGGCAATCTTAACAAACACGTTGTCCCCTACTTGAAATTCTACTTCTTTTCTCTTCAAGTTTGCATAGCTCTTTTGGCAATCCTAGGATTGTTTCATTCTCTCTTTGATTAACCTGATATCTTCAATCATCTTTTGAGTCATCTCTGGTCCTAATGCTTGAGCCAAAGACTCATTCTCTCTTACTTCATCCCAATACAAAGTTGATTTGTACTTTCTTCCACATAGAGCTTCATATGGTGCCATCTGGATAGTAGCCTGATAATTGTTATTATAGGCAAATTCCATTAATGGAATTCTATCACTCCAATTCGCTTTATGATCCATACAATAGGCCCATAACATATTTTCAATCACCTAATTGGTTCTCTCGGTTTGGCCATCTGTTTAGGGATGATAAGTTGTACTAGAAGCTAGCCTTGTACCTAGTGCTTTTTGTAAACCCATGCCAGAAGGCTAAAACAAATCTTGAATCTCTGTCTGACACTATTGTCTTGGGCACACTATGCAACCTCACATTTTCTTTTACATAAATCTGACCCAACTGATTTGAAGTAGTTGTATCCTTCACTGGTATGAAGCACGCTGACTTAGTACGTCTATCCACAATCACCCATAGCACATTATACCCTTTTTGTACTCTTGGAAGGCCAACAATAAAATCCATAGATACGTCTTCCCATTTCTATTCAAGAATATTAAGAGGTTCTAGTAATCATGATGGTTGCTAGTGTTTAGCTTTAACCTGCTGACAAATTAAACATTTAGCCACATAATCAGTGATATCTTTCTTCATACCTGACCACCAGTAGCTTTTCTTTAAATCTTGGTACATCTTTACACTCCCAGGGTCGGTTGAATAAAGTGTATCGTGTGTTTCTCAAATGATTCTTATTGGTGGTAAGGTCAGGGTTGTATATGAGGATATCGTCAAAGAACACGAGGATGAATTTCCTTAAAAATGGTTTGAAAATTGTGTTCATGAGGGCTTGGAAGGTGGAAGGTGCATTAGTCAAGCCAAAAGGCATGACTAAGAACTCATAACACTCATAACAACCTTCATGAGTTCGAAAGGTTGTTGTGGTTAGGTCCTCCTCTTTAACTCGAATATGGTGGTACCCAAACTTTAAATTCAGCTTGGAAAAATAGTAACACCAGCCAACTTGTCTAACAACTCCTCAATGGATGGTATGGGAAATTTTTTGGGTATGGTAAGGTTGTTTAGGGCCCTATAATCTACATAGAAGTGCCAGCTACCATCATTCTTTTTCATTAATAAAACGAGGTAGCAAAAGGGTAGTGCTAGGATGAATAATCCCCGCAACCATCATCTCTCCAACTAATCTTTAAATCTCATTTTTTGTTAGGTAAGGGTATTTGTATGGCCTAATGTTTGGTGGTTTTGTTCATTCTTAGAGCACTATGGCGTGGTCATGCTGCCTTCGGGGAGAGAGTCTAGTGGTTTGGTCGAAAATCCGCTTAAATTCTAACATCACCTCTGCCACAACAGGTTTTAGTTCTTATTTCTCTCAATTTTCCTTACACTCTATTGAACAAAATTCCACAACATACTCAGCTCCCTCTGTTTGTAATGCCTTAAGCATGACTTTTAGAGAAACCACTGTTTTAACCAGAGAAGGATCACCCCTTAGTATCACCTTTTCTCCTCCCTTATCAAACTCTATAGTCAACCTTCTGCAATTTGAACAAACATCCCCAAGTGTGCTTAACCATGTAGTTCCTGTAACAACTTCTTTCTACTATCATATTCCTAAAATATATTAATAAAAAGACAAGTATACTTATCAAAATAGTTGGGCCCAAAAATTTTCTTTACTTAATATATACATTCTTTACATAGTACAGTATCATTTGTACAAAAAAACTCTAAAAAACAGTGGACAGTGCAGCCAAGTCTCCCCGCTTGCCGACGTCCATCCGACCACGTCCTCACCTATGTCCTGTAAAAACATAGGAAAACAACAAGGTGAGCACAAAGATGCTCAGTAAGTAAAACCTCTACTCCGTAGTCCCCGTGTATTACTCTTCAATTCTTTTCTTACTCTTGTCACTTTCTCTTATTCAATCTCTCTTGTTCTTTCTCTACTTCTAGCTCTCACTATTCTTTTCTTTCTTTCTATTCTCATCACCCATGGAAAATATCATAAGAACATGCATGGATGAGATGCATATGCACTAAAGCATAACAATGCATTTTCTCTCTTTTCTTTTCTTTCTATTCTTTTCTTATTCTTTCTTATTCTTTCTTATTCTTTGCCGATTGGTCTTGGTTGATGCATGGATTCGGAACCCTTAGCCGTGTGAGTGTACTCTCTCTCTCGTATATAGCCCTCACCCTCATGTATTCTCACGGCTATACGAATTCTTTTTCTCATTCTCATTCCGCTCTCTCATGGCGGAAACCGCTCTCTCATGGCGGTTACATGCGGATAATTTCTACACTCACGGGCTCCCCATGGCACAACCTATTCTCTTTTCTCTTCTTTAGCACTTGTTATTCATTTATTCTCTAGTGCTAACTCTTTCTTTCTCTTTATTCTAAGAGAATTAGTTCTTTTCTTTATCTCTATTCTTAGAGTGTTTCTTTCTCATTTCTTAAATTTCTTTCTTTGGTGATTACTCAAATAAACATATGCATATGGATGGCTCATGCTTAGAATCTTTATTATATGTACTCATGAAATGCAAATATGCTATGTTGCATAAAGTAAGGTTCTCTACTTCTACTCATGCTTCTCTTAGGCATTTCATCAAACAATATGTGTGCATACAAAAACCCTACTCTAACTATAGTTCTACTTCTTTCTTAACCATCCAAAATTGGAGTTCAACTCCTTCAAATCATCACACATCCTGCAAAGAAAACACACTTAAAATATTCCTCTCAAATTCTTCTAATTCTATCCATACTTCTACCAAAATTTTGTCAACACAATCCACCCATCTCGTGGTGGAAATCTCCTCATAAATCAACCTTGAGCTCATTCATAACTTCATCAATTCATTTCAAACATAAAAAATCCAAGCATTAATCATATATAAATCTCTACACATCATTCAATCATGCAAATCACAACTTAGGTGGATTTACTTACCTTATACTCAAGTAGAATCCACTTAAGCTCTCTACTCTTGATGGCTTGATACTTTCTCTTAAACCTTAAACACAAACTCAATAAGGATCCTACTCTTACACCAATAACATTCACATCTAGAGTAAGGATTCTTACTTTTAAGTGCTTAGGATCAACTTGTATCAATTTCTAGCCAAAAGCCCTCCAAATAAGGATTCTTACCTTTAAGTGCTTAGGATCAATTTGCATCAATTTCTAGCCAAAAGCCCTCTAAAAATCCTTGGAAAGTTGAATGAAAGTTTGAGAGAATTGAAGGATGAAAGAGGCGGTGGAAAGGAAGGAATGAAAAGGTTTCTAAAGCTAAACCCTTAATAACTCATATTTTCTCCACTCTTTCCCATTTTACCCTTACTCTTTCTTAGAAATTTCACCTTTGCCCTTTAATTCTTTGCAAAAACATCCTCATTCAAACTATTCTCCAAGCAATTTCCTTGCATTTCACTCCCCACTTTTCCTGCTAATTAGGGGTAGAATGGTCATTGTGCCCCAAAAGGAAGAATTCTCTAAAAACTCAAGGGAATTTTCAACCGAGTCTTTGCTGCGGCGAAGCTCTTTCTTCGCCCCGGCGAAAACTTACAGCAGCTGCATGGGGGTTGTAGCACTTCATCGCCGCGGCGGAGCTTCTTCTTCGCCTCGGCGAAGACTGTAACATCAAGATTTCGCCAAGTCTTACAATTTTCAGGGCAACCAGTCAACCAAACCAATACACCCATTCAACCAAGGGCCAACCAAACAATATTAACAACATACAAACTCAAATAAGGATAAATTAATAAACATTCAAGCCATTCATCAAATCTTAACTACGTACCTCAAGTGGGGCGTTACAGTTCCTAGCTCCACATCAGCTCCACCCAAGTCAAATGGAAAAAAATCTTGTTGAATCTCTACTTCTTGTATCTCCAATTTCACATCCCTACAAATTCCTTCCCCTTTAATTTTAAAACTGTTTCCCACCATAACCCTAAATGACTTTGCCCCATCAACCTTAATTCCTAATTTCCACACTAATTCATGCAATATGAAGTGTGTGAGGCTCCACTATCTACCAACGCAATCACCCTTTCCCCTCCAATCTTACCTTTGAGCTTCATAGTTTGGTCAAAGGTGATACCAACAATCAAGTTCATGGACAAGGCCAAGGGATTACCTTCTTCAATGGTTTCAACATTGGGCTTAGCTTCTGGTTCTCCTCTTTCAGACTCTTCATCATCCAAGGCCAACAAAATCTGCAAGGATTCGCTCTTGCATCGATGATTTGACCCTAATTTTTTGTCACAAGGAAAGCATAATCTCCTTTCACATTTATATTGTAAATTGGCCTCAGTAAGTCACCGGAACCCATCGCTTTTGACTGGAGACACCGCACTTTTCATCGATTTTTCTTTCCTCTCTTAGTTTTGGTTTTGCGATCCGTTATTCTACCCTAACTTTGCATTTTTCGCTAAGTTATTCCACCAATATGGGCGACTTAAATCTAGACTGGGTGAAACCCGATTGTAAGAATCTAGTTTGTGGGTTTGGGCTCTATTAAATCTGGATCCGGGTTTATCTAAAGCCCAATTTTTCTCCTTAATGTGGTGGGCTTGTTCAATTAAGTCAAATAAGGTTTTGGGCTTACTTAACCTTAACTCGACCCACAAATCCTCCCTGAGCCCATTTGCAAAAATCCACATGAGGAGGTCTTCTCCTACATCGCACAAAAGGGCTGAATGTGACTCAAATTGCTCTCTGAACTCTGTCACAGTCCCAATTAGTTTCAGTGCAACCAAGGATTCGTAAGCAGTTCCCTGGTATGATAGCCTGAAGCATTCAACTAATGCCAATATGAAGGAGCTCCAAGAGATGATCAATGCTCGAGTGTCAACCCATTAGTACAAGTTAAATGCACGCCCTACCATGCAAAAGTCAAAAGCTTCAACCTCCTACTCTTCCTCAAATTGATTTACCTAGAAGTAGTGATCAGCTTTAAAAGTCCACCTCAATGGATCTTTGTCGTTGAGAATAGGTAGCTCTAATTTCTTCACCGTCCAATCTTTTTAACTGTTTTTGATCCCTCTCAATCTCTCTCAGTTACTTGAACTTTCAGGTGCACCATTTCCTTCCTTTCCGGTGTTTATACTTTCTTCTTTTTCATCTCTGATCCTCATCCTCATCCACTCCCGAAGTTCCAAGAGAAAACCCTTAACACTGCCTAACTCCTCTTTCACAAATTCCATCTCTTTTTCCAAGCTCTCCATTCCATTCTCCAATTTTTATTTAACCATTCCCTAACCATGGCTATAATACCAATTTAATGAGAACTAAACCAAAATCAATCAAACAAAACAATCCCAATGAATCTCAACATATCAAAAATAACAAATGATTTAGGATATATATTGATATGAAATGAAAGACAATATGAACAATTGCAAGGAAAATCAAATAACAACAAGAAACAAGAAAAATTAAAGGTAGTAGCAGTTCAAGGAGCTAGTGGCCTCCCAACAATATTCCAAAATCAAGATGC